TGCTGCTGCAGTTGCTGCTGCTGCTGCAGCAGGTTCCATGCTGCGGTGTCTCGCAGGCGGAGCAAAGTATGCAGATCTGGCGACTTGCTGCTGCTGCTGCTGCTGCTTCTGCTGCTGCTGCTGCTGCTTCTGCTGCTGCTGCCGTCTGTGGGGGAAATGGAGTCGCTGCTCCTGGTATATCCGTCGTTGTGCTGCTTCTGCTGCTGCTGCTGCTGCTGCAGACGGATCTGCTGCTGCAAGTCAAAGAGCGCCTGCCACTGCAGAAGCCGAGCCCATGCAGCAGCAGCTGCTTCCTGCAGCTGCTGCTGGGCACCTGCTGTCCACGCCTTCTGCTGCTGCTGCTGCTGCTGCTGCTGCTGCTGCTGCTGCAGCTCTTCCTCCTGCTGGTGTCCTGGAGGGTTGAGCAGTAGCAGCACATCTGCGGGGAGCGGCGGCTCTACAAGCTGTTGCAGCTCGTGCTGCAGCTCCTGCTGCAGATCCTGCTGCATTTCCTGCTGTTGCTGCTGTTGCTGCTACTGGGGCTGCTGCTGCTGGGGCTGCTGCTGCTGCCGTTGTTGCTGCTGCTGCTGTTGCTGCTGCTGAAGGCGGCCCGAGCCCTTGGCCCCCAACGCGGGGCGTTTGCGGGCATTACGCGCCACGTGATCTGCTCCTGCAGCGGGAGGTGCTGCAGCAACAGCAGCAGCAGCAGCAGCAGCAACAGCAGCAGCAGCAGCAGCAGCAGCAAAGGCGGAGATAGTCCTGTAGAGATCTGTACACAAGTTTCCTCTGCTCTTTGAAAGGAATCTGCAGCAGCAACGAATTATTTATAAGAATCAGCACTTTTAAGCAGCTGCAGCAGCAGCAACACCTGCTGCAGCAGCAGCAGCAGCCGCTGCAGCAGCAGCAGCAGCAGCATGCAAGGGACCGCCGCCGCCTGTGTTGCAGCTGTCTTTCACCCCCATTTCAATTTTAGCAGGGTAATAAACTAAAGAACATTCATCACAACAGCAGCAGCAACAAAGATTGCAGCAGCAGCAGCAGCAACAGCAACAGCAGCTCCCGCTGCTGTTCCCGGGTGTCTCGACACCCGGAGGTCCTCGCTGGCAGCTGCAGCAGCAGCAGCAGCAGGGCTGGGGCAGCAGCAGAAGTGGGACCAAAGCAGCAACAGCTGCACCGGCGGCGCTGTTCGAAGAGGGGCAGTAGCAGGAGCAGCAGCAGCAGCAGCAGCAGCAGGAACAGCGCCAGCAGCAGCAACAGCAGCAGCAGCAGCAGCCCCGGGCTCAGTAGCTGCCGCACCTTTTTATCAGCAACTGCACTGCAGGATTTCGATTAGCCCACGGCAGCAGCACCCATCGCAGCGATGCAGCAGCAGCAACAGCAGCAGCAGCAGCAGCAGCAGCAGCGGCGTCCTGCTGCTCCTGCTGGCAGCAGCAACAGGAGGACAGCTGCGGGATCCACAGGCCCCAGATGCAGCAGCAGCAGCACGGCAGCAGCAACGCAGCAGCAACAACAGCAGAGGCGATCCCTGCAGCGGAAGCGGCAGCAAAGCTTTAACCTCTCGGATATACCCGAAGATGTAAATTGCTGCTGCTGCTGCTGCAATTACTGCATTTACTGTTGACAATGCTGCTGCTGGTGTTGCTGCTGCTGTTTCTGCTGCAGCTAATGCTATTTTGCCCTGTCTATTTAAGGAACTGTGCTGCATGTTGCTGTTTGTTGCTGCAGCTGCAGTTGCTGCTGCAGCTGTTGCTGCTGTTGCAGCTGCTGTTGTTTGCTGCTGTATCTGTTTTAGCTGCTGCTGCAGGTGTATTTGTGCGTTGCTGCTGCGCTGTTGCTGCTTGCTGCTAACAAACGGAGCTTATAAACAAACAAACAAACAAACAAACAAACAAATATGAAAGCTATATACACCTGAAGAGTTATTGTCTTTGAGTGTCTGCGCAGGTTTTATCTCTCTTCCCAGCCTTAGCAGCAGATTTCTTCGCTCTGCAGCAGATTGAAAACTCAGTCGATGCTGCTGCGCTGCAGCTGCAGACAATGCTGAGAGATACCTTTAGTCCCTGCATCTCTACAAGCAACACCAAACAAGTATTTCTGCTGCTGCTGCTGCTGCTGCTGCTGCTGATGCTGCTCGGCATACTGCTGCTGTTGCTGCTGCTGTTGCTGCGGCTGTTGCTGCTGCTGTTGCTGCTGATGCTGCTTGGCATACAGCTGCTGTTGCTGCTGTTGCGACTACTTGGCGTGCTGCTTCTGCTGCTTCTGCTGCTTCTGCTGCTTGTGCTGCTGTGTTTGCTGCTGGTGTTGCTGCTGCTCTGTTGAAGGTACTGTGTTTTGTTTGTGTTTGTTTGCTGCAGAATCTGCAGCTCTCTCGCTCGCGATTGCGGCTGTTTGTCTTTAATACATTTTCTAATCAAAACAACTCTGCTGCAGCAGCAGAGCAGCATGCGCCGCAGGTTCAGTGTCCTGCTGCCTTTCAGCTGCAGCCTCCCGCTGCTGCTGCTGTTGCTGCTGCTGCTGCTGC